TTAAAGTTGTACAAAATAACATTGTTCATTACAGCAGGTGGACAAAATAACATTATCACTAGGTGAACAATATAACAACATCTAAGGCAAGTTTTGTGTGAAAATGATACCGACCCGTATGTTTATGCATAAAAACCTTTGTAACTTTCTTATTTCGGCACCGATTTCAATTTTTTTTTTCATTTTGAAGCTGAGAAACAGAGCTTTTTAGCCCATATTCGATATTTTTGTTTAAATTAATATTTATAAGAGAAAAATTACAAAAATGTTCAGAAGTTTTCATTTTTCTCGCAATTTTTCAACTTTAACTGATGTTTTCATCATTAATTTTGATTTAAACATTTTTTCTCTACTAGCGCTATTAAAGCGTATTAAATTCTGCATCCAATGAGTCCTATTTGAATAGATTTTGTAAAAAATTAACTGAATTATTGTAGTTTTTCTCTTTACTATAATATAAAGAGTAAATTGGAATTCGAGATTTCTCATATTGTTTTAATAGAAATATTTCTAAATTGTTATTTTATACCCTATTGAAAATCCCTGTACAAAATTTTGTACAAGAAAATGTACATTTTCGTGCACCAGAATTTAGATCAAGTTCTGGTATCAGAACTTGTACAAGATCTTGTAAAAATTTATTTAATATTTGTATACAAGAAAATGTATTTGTTCTTGTACATATGCTTGTGCAGATTCAAGTACTTTTTCTTGCACCAGATTTGATACAGCTTCTTGTACATATGTTTATTTATGTCTTCGTTTAGTAAAAATGAAAAACTTTAAAGACTGCGCAGTAGTTTTCTTACAACTTTACAGCTGCGCAATAATTCTTAACATACATAATTAAAGAGTTTTAATTGTTCTAAATTAATAAAATCTAAAATTTTGTTGAAAAAAAAGTTTTTTCCACATGAAATTGTACAAGGCAATGAACGGTTTCATGTGTAAGTACATGTACATGAACCTGCATAAGAATATGTACGAGAACATGTACTTTTTCTTGTATATAAATATTAAATATATTTTCTTGTACAAGATCGTGCACAATATCTGGTACAAGATCTGATACAAGAAGTAGAATTTATTTTATTTCTGAAAATGCAAAAAATTACAAAAATTAGTAAAACCTTCATAACTTGGAGTATTTTTATCCCATTGTGTTTGTTTATAGTTCATTTATAAAATTAATATTTGTTAAAAAAAACTCATTGTTAGCATGACCAACATGGAATAAAAACTGTCGGAACTTGACGAATACTATACATAAACAATTAAGAATGAAAAAGAAAAGAATAAACTGTAATGTTCTTGAATCAGCTACTAGACCTGTTAAGAGAAAAACTACAATAATTCAGTTAATTTTTTACAAAATCTATTCAAATAGGGCTCATTGGATGCAGAATTTAATACGCTTTAATAGCGCTATAAGAGAAAAAATGTTTAAATTAAAATTAATGATGAAAACATCAGTTAAAGTTGAAAAATTGCGAGAAAAATGACAACTTCTGAACATTTTTGTAATTTTTCTCTTATAAATATTAATTTAAACAAAAATATCGAATATGGGCTAAAAAGCTCTGTTTCTTAGCTTCATATTTTACTGATTAGCAGTAGAAATCTACTAATTGCCATAGCGAGAATTGAGCAACTGACAATTAGTAGAAATTTACTGATTCAATTAGTAAAATCACAAAAAATTAAAAGGCATTAAAATAAGCTGCAACGCTTATTATTTCAATCCAATTTTGCTTATTTTAATACCAAAATGGATTAAAATAAGCAAAATTGTATTAAAATAATAAGCGTTGCAGCTTATTTTAATGTCTTTTAATTTTCTGTGATATCAATTACTGATTGAATCAGTAATATAAACATATGGCAGCGGCCGCAAAATCTACTGATTTAATAGTTAATTTTAAAGTTTATGTTATATACAAATTACTGATTTACATAAGGTATTTTCTATTGCTTGCATATTGACTAATTATATTAGTAAATTTCAAAAAATAACTGAAACTTCAGTTAAAATGAAAAGTACTGATTGAATTAGTAAAATTTCTACTGATTCAGATTTAGAGAGTACTACCTCCAATAGGTTTCATAAGAAGTATATTAAAAAAAAATTTTTTGTAGCACCGTGTTTTCATTAAATAAATCATGATTTTTTAAATTTCTATCATCTTATCGTCTTCAGTGGAACTAAAGGCGTGTGTATACCAAATTTCAACTAAATTGATTAATATTTGACGAAGATACGACGATTTATGTTTTAAAATTCAATGAATTTTGAGAATCTTTAAAAAAGTATACAACATTTAGAAACTTTCGATGCTTGCACAGGTTTAAAAGGTTTTGGACCCAAGCAACAAAAATCTGTTTCTAAGGTAAATTTTAACGCTGATTTTGAAAAAAATCATAACTTAAAGGTTTTTAGAGTTGCTGATTACATATTTGAAGTCAGATTTTAAAATTTCAAAATAGCGAATCCATTATGGTTATACTGAACTTTATAAAAAAAAATCTCCTACTTTTTATAATATATCAACAAATAAAAATGAAATATTACTCAGACAAAATGTAAAATTAAAATATTAAAAATATAATAATAATTGTTAATTTTTTTATCAGTACAAGAGACTAGTTGAAAGTGAATATTACTTTTCAACTATTATTCTGATGATATTAAAATTCAAAAGTGAAAATCGCTGCGCAATATTATCCGTGAAACTTATTTTTCCACGAGAAACTTGTGTAAACTTGCTAAAGTACACGGTTGGCAATGGCCCGTATTCAGTAAACATAATCGTTAAGTTTCTTTCCCTTGATTACAAAACACGTTGAACTAGCCACCAAGCACCTCGAACGAGAAAACACTTAACATTGTAAAACTCGCGCTTCGCTGAACGTGATTATTCCTAACTGACAAAACTTATGTGTAAAAGAATTTTTCCCCATTTTTGTGCGGAGAGAGATATATTTATATTGTCAAAAAAAAGGAAAAAGTCATTTCTATTTCTTCTTATATTCCTTCTAATATACACAAGAGATATTATCTACTCTATTTTACATTCTTTTTCTTCTCTCACTAAAAATTCACTTAGAAAAATAATTTATTAAAAAAAAATACTTAAAAGGAAATTTTGCTTTTTTATTATAAAAAAAAAAAATCTATTCATAAAATGGAAAAAAAACTAATATATTGCATGCAAATAATAAGAGAGAAAAATTGAAATTAATTTTATTTTCTTTATAGAAATACACACTTCAACTGGCAAAAGTAAAAAAAAAAAAAAGAAATAACATTAGGGGAAAAAAAATTTTTCAAGTGAGACAAAAATTTATCACAGATGAAAGAAAGAAATTTTCAATTTAATAAATTGAACGATTGCATACTGAGATATTGAAAAGTGCACATGAAAAGGATTTGTTCAATTGCCATATGAATTTTATAAAAAATAATTCTCTTCATAGTTTTTCCTTTTTTTTTTACATATATAAGAATCTTTGGAGTTTTCTTCTTTTTTTTTTTTTTTTATTTTAAAATGTAAAAATTCATCTTTGATGATCACGTAATTTGAGTATTAAATTTTTCTTTAAGAAAAAAACTTTCTTAAAGGATTTTCAATGTCTCAAATTACGTTCTAGTGCACGTTAACGAGATTCACAAAGGAATCGAATTTTCATCATTTTATACACATACCACTTCCTTTGTCCTTTGTTGTAAAATTCAGAATACATATCAAATATCTGTATTGTGAAGTCAATGCTATGAATCCAATTGAAAAATAAATATCCGTCTCCTTTATCAATGTTATCAATTTTCAGAAATTTTTAAGCAATTCAGATCAATTAATGGCTTTTAAATATATATATAAATTAATTTTTAAAAAAAATACTTGGACAGAAAAAAATGTAAGTTATTATTTACAATAATATAGAATGGTAATTTTATAAATTAAGTACGCTATTTTGGATCCGCCATTTTGAATTTTTTAATTTGAAGGTCTAATTCGAATTTAGCACCCTCGAAAACCCCCTTACACCAAGTTTCATTAAAATCCGTTAAAATTTTAAAAATTATATCGGTCATTTTGGATCCGCCATTTTGAATTATCTAATTTAAACCTCAAATTCGAATTCAGTACCATCGAAAATCCCTTTATACCAATTTTCAATAAAATCCGTTAAAATTTTAAAAATTAAGTACGCTATTTTGGATCCGCCATTTTGAATTTTTAAATTTAAAGATCAAATTCGAATTCAGCGACCCCAAAAACCCTTACACACCTAATGTGGATTAAATTGGAAATAAAAATTTTTTTTCGTTATTTTTACTTGTTTTTCAATTGTTATATTATTAAAAAAAATAAATTATTTAATTATTACTAAAGCAAATATCATTGATACCATTAGTGTGCGAATAATGATATAAAAAAATTTATTTTACAATTTACATAGAAAATTTTATTTATTTTGTTTTATGATGATCACGACAATTTTCTGTGCATTACAGAGCAATAGTATCAGTAGTAAGATGAAGTTTTAGTCAGACGTAATATATGTCGAATCGTGTGGAATAAGCGTCAGTAGTAAAAGTCACTTTTAGTCAGACAACATGGAATTAATTTTAAATATCGATATAAAATTCGTTTGTTGAAATATATCAGCATAAAAATGACGTAAGTAAAATATTTTAAGAAATTTTTTTTTGCAAATGACTATTTTTATATAAAAAAAATTAATATTGTTTCAAAATTTTTTGACCTACAGCTATATTCACTCCATTAATCTGACCTAACCTGACCTAACCTAACCTAACCTAACCTAAACTAAACTAAACTAAACTAACCTAAACTAAACTAACCTAACCTAACCTAAACTAACCTATCCTAACCTAACTTAAACTAACCGATTTGGCTACGTTCACGTCCGACTATTGGCTATATTTACATTACATAACATTTTAAAAAAATATAAATTAAAAAAGAATTACTTACCAAACTCGACTGTTTCAATATTTATCCGTGAAATCACTCCAACATTCTGAAAAAGATATTTATAACACTTATTTTAATGTTTTTTTTTTTAATAATTTTATACAGAAAATTTCACAACATGGATTTTTAAAAAAATTCTAAATGCATGCGTTTAATAATGTCACGCAGTTTAAAAAAAAACATGATCGATTTATACCCAGTGTGTACTGTGAGGGTTAAAATTAAAAAATTATTAAAATTAATTAATTTAAAGCGAATATGAATGTAATACACGATTCAAAAGAAAAACTATAAATATTATACTAGACTTATAATGTCATAATGCGAATAGCGTCTCGTTAAAAAAAAAAAATAAATAATAATGGATTGTCGACATTAAATTGATGCATTTTGATGTATACGTGTTCAGCTTTTTGTATCTTTCATAATAAATATCTCTTGCTGGCTGCTTCGGTCGAACTGTCTGCTTTCTAAAAATTTATGTATGCCGCGACTACTCCATATATTACAACAAAAACGTATGGGGGTTCTAGGGGAAATCGAATGCTCACCGAACGTTTCTTAAAAATACGACGCGATGAGTTCCAGATTTTTCGAATTGAGAAAAAAAAACTCTCGCGTCACCAAAATTCGTTTAACCTTGAGTTTTGGAAAAGCTTTTTAAATCGTAAATCCTAATACCTCTCTCTCTCTTTCTCTGGTATATATAGGTGAATATCTTATAATTATATGACGAGGGCAATTTCTTCTTCATTTCAGTACGGGTATATAATTTATTAACCTGACGCCATTCTTTCAAGTTTATCGTGTAAAATGAGAAAAGATGAAAAGAAAGCAATAAAGAATATAGAAAGGAGAAAAAGTGAAATAAAAGATGTGTGAGAGACTTTAAATAGCGTTATTAATAGTTCCGTTTTAAATTCTTAATCCACTTTGTGAGCTCATCTTTCTCTTCTTCTTTCTTAATTGTGTAATTTTAAATACTAATTGTTCGTGAGAATTATTTTTTTTTTAAAAAGCAAATAGACGAGTAAATATAAAGCAATAACCTTAAATGTCTTGAATAGTGTACTGTGAAATTGCCTTCTTTTGTCGGTCGCCTTTTCTTAGTTCACATTGGATTTTTCTACCGCACTGAGACCATTTTCTCCCCCTAATAAGCCTATTAAAGGACGTTGGTTGGCTCATAAACAGATCTTTAAAAAAAAACAAAATAAAAATAAAGGACATTTTAACCAAACATTTAAAATGTTTCTTCATTTATAAAAATGTCTATTTTGCAGAAATTGTATTTTAAAAAAAAAATTAAACAATTATTTACTTAATAAAATTTTATAGTATTAAAATTGCAGTATTTTTAAAATGAAAAACTACCAAAAAAACTTGAATCATCAATTTTTTCCAATACGCGTGCATTAAAATTTGTTCGACGATAAATTAAATTATGAAAACGGGAAAATGAATAATTTTTGGGCGATTCTGGCTAGGGAGTCTCTTAAATAGAGAAAAAGAAAAGCATAAGACAGCATCTTGCTGGAAAAAAGAAAAGCGATGGTGGCGTAGAGCCAAGCCTCTTCCGTATCACTGTTGGGTGTCGTTTATGTCGAGAAATCAATGAGATTGAAATAAAATAGAAGACGGATTCGCGGTTCACCTTTATATTCCCCGAAAGCTCTTTCAGCTTCCTCCCGATTTCTTACTTCCTCTTATTTCTTTTTCTTCTTCTTCTTCTAGCGGAATAAATGTAGGCCACACATTCGCTCAAGTTGAAACCGGCGAATGTAGACCACACGTTTACAGTGTGGCTTAATTTTATTTTAAAGTATACTGTAGAAATTATTTTTTATTTTTAATAATTTATTTCATAAAAAAATATTGCAGAATATATTTAATAACTATTTTAAGGGAACAAAAATATATATTTAAACAAATCGAAAAAATTTTAGTGAAGTACAAATTTTTAGATTTGTTTCTACTGGATACAACTTTTTTAACAAGGGAATATTTTAATTTAATTAAAAAAAATTGCAAAATATATTTAATAACTTTTTTAGGGGAAAAGAAATATTAATTTAAACCAATCGGGTCAATATTAGTGAATTATAACTTTTTAGGTTAGGTATAGTAATTACGACAAAGTATCGCTGTTTTGTATAATGTTTATAAGCCTCATTTGCGCCAGGCTATTAAATACCAATTTTTTTTTTAAATCCAAGACAAATAATAATTTAAGTGTCTTATTTTCCAGAGTGTAATTGACAACACAATAAAAAAATATTTAAGTAATAGAAATTGTAAGGTAATGTAGTTGCAACGTTAATACCACGGTCAACATAAAAACAAGAATGTCGAGACACAATGAAAATTTACGTGATTGCCGCGCCACTAGTAGGTCGTTTCCTAACTAAAGCGTTTGAACTTCTACGAAATTGGCGCGAAAGTTTAAAAGTAAATACAGTAATATCTTTTTATTATTAATACTTTTTGGCTTTTAAAATATTTTTTAATTAATAATAATAATGATAATAATAATAATGATAATAATAATAATAATAATAATAATAATAATAAATACAGATACGAATAAAACAAAATAAAAATAAAGTAAAGAAAAATTTTAACAAAAATTAGAAATAATCCAACGGTGTAAATGTGATCGTATTGAATGTAAAAAAAAAAGAAACATAAAGCAGGCCAGTGCGTTTGTATACTTTTTATATGGTTGGAGTGTTATTCTCGACACTCTCTGCGCGCACACCTATATCTTTATATTTTCTCCATCCACTTCGATTGTGGGAAGCAACCAGTTTCAACGTTCCGGATGGATCCGACAGATCGAACGGCTCCAATTTCCCGCTCGACGTCACAACCATACGAGACGTTTTTTTCTTTGAGAAGAAAGAGACAAAAAAAGAAACGACGCGTGGAACCACACGAAGAAAGGACAAAGATGGCATTCGGCAAACGTTCCACAAGGAACTTTAAGAGAAAAGAAAAAAGGGAATAAAATTTCTCTCCCCTCCCTTTTCTCTCTCTCTCTCTCTCTACCATCATTCCAAAGGCGTGTGAAAACGTTTCTAATAATTACTGATTACTTTGTCCAACGTCAGCTAACTTTTCTTTTTTTTTTCTTCTATCGTCATACAAAAGTTAATCGTGCCTCACATCTTAACTCACACACAAGTTGTTAAATACTTTATTTCTTTTCTAGCTTTCGATTTTCAAATGAAACCTAAAATTTTTTTCTTGTGTTTTTTTTTATGACTTTGGAAACAATTCAATTTCCAAGATAGAAGAAAGGTGGATTTTATAGCTCTTTTTTTTTAGGATGAACATTTCAGTTCTAAAAGAAATAGAAAACAGGAAAATAAGAATTGCTGACGCTTTTATTCAATTCTAATTAGAGATATATCTTTTCTTTTTTAAATACATTAAAAAAAAATCAAAATAATTTTTAATTATTATTTTACATTATTGATATTTGTTTTTTTGGTTGGTCGTTTCTTCTCTATTTTGTAATTAATTGACATCATATAAATTAACATTTAATAAAATAAATTATTCTCCAATATATAAAGCAATAAATACATTACTGCATTTAATTTAATCGAAATGCAATATAATTATCTCCTTTTTGAAAATTGTATATAATTTTACATCATCGTATAATAATCTCTATGATAACTTAATAATAAACAAAACCGCATTCATATCCGATGAAATTAGAGGGCAGTTTATATAGAAGTGTCATAATTAAATTATTAATTAGATTTTATGAAAATAATTACGATTGAAATTTCTCATGTTTCTCAATCCCTGGATTTCCTCTATATTATATAATATTTCGTTAATGTATTTATAAATATTTAATAAGGAAAAAAAGAAATAAAATAGAACTTTTTTTTTGTTCCAGAAATTCTAAATTCATGACAACTATGTGGTTGAACAAATTTTGAATAGAGTTTCTTGTTCACAATATTGTTTATTTTCTAAGAGATATATTCTGAGTTTTTGATGAATCTACTTGAACAACTGTTAACATGCAGTGAGATAGGTTGGCTAAAATACACGTAACAGCCACTTGTATGTCGTTGATACCATAATAATAATATTTAGTGCAAAAGTAATAATACCACTTGATGTCAGTATAATAGCTGCTTATGCAAATTAATGAAAATTGAGGACTACGTTACTCTGCTCGAGGACCAGACGTTTCCGTCAAGATAAAGCAACTCTGTACTTTACACAATTGTATATAATGGTATATCTCTTTAATTATTTGTATTCTATATCTACTATATATAAATATATATATATACAATACATGAAGTAATTATTTTCAATGGTTATTTTAGTTAGTGTTGTAAATTTAATTTGTAGAACACTACAAAACTAATTTTTACTACTAATTATATTTCAGTTTTTATTAATATTATTTATTATTATTATTATTTTATTATACTGTTTTAGTTTTATTTATTATTATTTATTTTTAAATTTTCGCGCCCATTTTCTGAAAGTCCAAATGTTTTAGTTATCAAACGACTCACTAGTGGCGCGGCAATCGCGTATATTTTCAAAGCGTCTCGTCATTCTTATTTTCTTATTGACCGTGGTATTGACTTAGATACAACGTTACATGTGACGCTTCGCGACAAATGGTACCTAAGCTCCTAAAATTTTTAGGTTATATTTTTGACAAACTATTGATGTTTAAGTCTTTATTACATCTAAAATCAATAAAATTTATTTTTAATATTTCCTAATTAAAATAGAACTTTTTATTGAGGTAAAACTATCACTAAATATAACCTAAAAATTTTAGGAGCATGGTACCTTTTGTCGCGGAGCGTCACATATTTTCTCAAAGTTCTGACAGTTCTTATAATGAGAAGTTAATTAGAGGAAAAAAGAAGACATATATTATAAATAAATTGACATATCATTAAAAAATTATAGTATATTTGGTGTCAATTTAAAAAATTGGTATTTAATAGCCTGGCGCAATTTGGGCATATAAATTGTTTGTGGACTGTATTTTGTCCG